CTAAAACAACAACAATTACTTGGGTCCTGACGGTGGGGCCGCGCGACACGGTCTTCCCGGCTCCTAACGATCTTAATCGAGAGAATAATGCACATAATGCAGGCGTGATTATGTATACTCGCCGCCACAGTACGCTCGCCACTCACAAATTAACTTTGATGTTTGAGATACAATCAGCGGAGATAACATTGCTGCACCAGAATACATACCATGATATTAGCATGCTCGGCCGGTCTCACCACGGACGACCCCATAATGGCCGACCCCACCACGGACGACCCCATAATGGCTGACCCCACCATGGCCGACTCCCACTACGGCTGACCCCCACTACGGCTGACCCCACCATGGGTGACCCCCACTACAGCTCACCCCCACCATGGCTGACCCCACCATGGCTGACCCCACCATGACTGACCCCACCATAACTGACCCCACCATGGCTGACCCCACCATGGCTGACCCCACCATGACTGATCCCACCATGACTGATCCCACCATGACTGACCCCACCATGACTGACCCCACCAGGCCTCGTAGTGGTGGGGAGTGGCCTCGTAGCCTGGTGGATAGCGCGCAGGACTCGTAATTCTGTGGCGCGGGTTCGATTCCCGCACGAGGCAGAAACAAATGGGCAAAGTTTCTTTCACCCTGAATGCCCCTGTTACCTAGCAGTAAATAGGTACCTGGGAGTTAGTCAGCTGTCACGGGCTGCTTCCTGGGGGTGGAGGCCTGGTCGAGGACCGGGCCGCGGGGACACTAAATCCCCGAAATCATCTCAAGATAACCTCAAGATAACCATAACTGACCCCACCATGGCTGACCCCACCATGACTGACCCCACCATGTCTGACCCCACCATGACTGACCCCACCATGACTGACCCCACCATAACTGACCCCACCATAACTGACCCCACCATGACTGACCCCACCATAACTGACCCCACCATGGCTGACCCCACCATAACTGACCCCACCATGACTGACCCCACCATAACTGACCCCACCATGACTGACCCCACCATGACTGACCCCACCATGACTGACCCCACCATGACTGACCCCACCATAACTGACCCCACCATAACTGACCCCACCATGACTGACCCCACCATGACTGACCCCACCATGACTGACCCCACCATAACTGACCCACCATAAACTGACCCCACCATGACTGACCCGACCATGATGACCCCACCATGACTGACCCCACCATGACTGACCCCATCATGACTGACCCCACCATAACTGACCCACCATAACTGACCCCACCATGACTGACCCCACCATGACTGACCCCACCATGACTGACCCCACCATGACTGACCCTACCATGACTGACCCCGCCATGACTGACCCCACCATGGCTGACCCCACCATGACTGACCCCACCATGACTGACCCCACCATAACTGACCCCACCATGGCTGACCCCACCATAACTGACCCCACCATAACTGACCCCACCATAACTGACCCCACCATGACTGACCCCACCATGGCTGACCCCACAATGACTGACCCCATCATGACTGACCCCACCATGACTGACCCCACCATGACTGACCCCACCATAACTGACCCACCATGACTGACCCCACCATGACTGACCCCACCATGACTGACCCCACCATGACTGACCCCACCATGACTGACCCCACCATGACTGACCCCACCATAACTAACCCCACCATAACTGACCCCACCATAACTGACCCCACCATGACTGACCCCACCATGACTGACCCCACCATGACTGACCCCACCATGGGCGTCTCCGTGAGGCCAGAAATTAATAAATAATAAATAAAAGTAACATCAGCAAATAAATTACAATTCAATTCAATCAGAATAATAATAATAATAATAATAATAATAATAATAACATTACTCATCCACCTGTTTAGATAGTACCTATCGTGACTATTGTCAATAGTCAGGAATTCGTCCGTACTTAGCTTTTAGATAGTAGTAAAGTTCCTGACTAGTAAGGAATTCTTTTATAATAAACGAAGCTAAAAAACCAACTTAAATATTCCTAGGCCTAGTATAGCACACATATGTACTATATTAGGCCTCAGATATCGTGCATTAGGCCTAAGAAGGTTAGGTTAGGGTACGTTAGTTTGTCAAAGCAACACAAGTAAAAAAACAGTTTTCCGGTTTGTCCAACTCAATAGTTCAGATTTCTACTTTCTAATTTCGTTGTAGGTCGGTATATATACTCTGGTCCTCATCGTTACTATAAGTACTACCCAAATAGGAGGATGGATTGAATAATAATAATAATAATAATAATAATAATAATAATAATAATAATAATAATAATAATAATAATAATAATAATAATAATAATAATCATCATATTATAATGTCCACAAACAAGAACTACAAACAAAGCAACAACACAACACCACAAGTAGACTAACACAATAACAAAGTTAAATCACAAGGTCAAACAAACAAACAAAAAAACTCAAGGAACAACAAAACACAAGAATAAATCACAAAGAAGATTATAAGACAACACAGAACCAAAAAAAGCAAACAATGAAGAACAGAACACAAGAAAGGAAAAAAAAACACATGAGAAAAAAGGAGAGGCCCCAAAAAAGCAACAAATGCTGAGAACGCAGACCCGACGACTCTCAAGTCGAAGTGTACACGACCAGTCGGGGAAGACGGGAAGAGAGAGACAGCGAGAGAGACAGCGAGAGAGACAGAGAGAGAGAGAGAGAGACACTTCACCAGGCAGGAGGAAGCCTGTAAAGGCAAGTTATACTCCCCTGTCTATATAATAAGCTCAAACGAATGTGGTCGGCGTGCCGTTTTGATTTTGTCCTCGCGACCCCTACAGCGGCGCCCTGGGAGACCGTTCTCTGTGGTACCGCGCCTTGTCCCCCACCCCCTGCCCCCCCTTCCTCCTCCTCCTCCTGCCGCTGATGCCCTTCCCACCTCCCTTCCCTCTTGCCCTTTCCCCTGTGTGCCTCTTTCTCTCCCTCTCAGGCTCAAACGCGGGTAAGATATAATGATTTTTCCGGCGGGACACCCGAGTGCCGTTCCCTTCGTCGTATTTGTCTGGGATGGAGTGCGTTTTTTAATGAAATTGAGGCGGAGCATCTCCGTTTTCTGTTGAGTCATACGGAGGGACATTTGTGAAGGTGTAGGAGAAAGGGGGAGTAGGAAGAAGGGGAAGGTGTGTAGGAGAAAGGGGGGAAAGGGGGCAGATGAGGGGGCAGGGGGAGCATGATCAGGATGCCTGATATTCCTCCATGAATTATTTGGTGTGTTTGGTTGGGTTGTGTGGCTGTCGCGCCGTTTATTTGCAGAGAAATATCTACATCCTTTTAAAGATGAAGTGTCACCAAGCACCTGGCTTACATATTAATTAGAAATCGCTCTCGGGCAAAAGCCACAGGAATGAAGTCTTGCTCGTACGCACCAGCACGAGTCTGCTCAATTAAATGTACGCTTTCTGCTCTGTGTAATTGTTAGAGACACAAGTATTTTACAACGGTGAATTTATCAGCTGTTTTCGTACGGCACTAAGAAAGACGCCATTGTCAACTCTCTCAACTTCAGGGCTCTGATTACTTCATGTTGTCACCCCCTTGCATATTTACGTATGTATGGTGGCGGACCTAGCAGCCTAACAAGCCGAATTTCTATAAAAAATTACTTTTAATATTAATGTATATGTATATATATATATATATATATATATATATATATATATATATATATATATATATATATATATATATATATATATATATTCGGATAAATAACAAGAAAAAACTAACTTAAACAGTTGACCAAAAACTAACCTGTCCTAACCTAGCATAAATAGTCAAAGTATTTCTTAATTCTCCATAACATAAATACAATTAATCCTTGTCGAATCTGGCTTTAAAGTTGTGGATGGAGGTGGCTTCCACAACTTCTTTCATTGCATTCCACTTGTTGACCACCAGAACTGGGAACGAGCATTTCCTAACATTTCTTGGAATCATTTGTGTTTCCAGTTCCACCAATGTCCTCTTGTCCTATATTCTCTGAATTTAAAGAGGCAGTCCTTATACACTTTGTCA